CATCTTTTATTATCAATCCCAGTGAATAAAATCAGATTAAAAGAAATTAGTTCATTAATTTTCTACATCCTCCATTGCCAATTCCGGTAAATAAAATCAGATTAAAAGAAATCAGTCCACCATTTTTCGACATCCTTGATTGACATTCGTAATAAGTAAAATCAGTCCAAAAGAAATTGGTTACAATGACCTTTGTTTGAAACAAAGATTGGAAGAGAAAGGACGTGATTCCTGGTCCGCTAAGTGCTAATAGAACTACAAGTGGCTAGGTACTTCTGCTCGAAAAATTAACTGATTAACGGATTAAAGAAAGGAGAGCTGATTATCCCAAAAAAATTGGATCTACCGTTACACTGAGCGGCAGGGCAACTTCTAACGGAATAAAGGCAGATGAAAAAAGACTGTGAACGAGTCAAAAGTGACTTCCATCAAGGAGGGTCCCAGAGTCGGAATCAATCTTCGAGAAGCAGTACTCAATGTTTGCCAGACAATCGCAAGCGACTTAAACTTTAAGCCTGCGCGACTGAAAGCAATTCCCAGGAAGTTGGCTTGGCAACTCCTGGAAGAATGAGCGATCTTTATCCTTCACGGCAGCCCGCTTGAATTTTGCATGACATCCTGGAAATGAGCGTTCGTACGATCCCGCGAAACTGGATGAACCACAGGGGGTCAGGTTGTAATATTCAGTAAGTGCGAAAGATGCGGTTGCGGAGAGTGTGTGTGCCCGTCGATGTTTGTACGAAACGGAGAAGAACACCTTAGATAAAATTTTCTCTTGTTAATTCGTGTATGCAATTTTGTAGATTATGTTCGCGCTATTCGTTGTGCCAACAACGTGATAGTGCTGTGAATAACGCTGTTGCAAATAATACTGCTGTGAATAATTATAGACTTAATGTAACTTTTACATTTTTAGTGATAGTGAAACTGAAACTTAACAAAATGTCATAGAAAATAGAAATATACAAACATAATATTTCGTTAAGTTTTCGTTTAGATGTCAGTAACAATGTAAAAGTTACTTTGTGTCTATAATTATGCACACCACTGTAACTGTTTCTAATTAAAAGCAAACTCTGTAGCCGTTTATTTCCAGACTTATTTGGCGAAGGAATTTGTCAACTTTTTCTTATAAACAAATGATACTCTTAAAACTAAAGAGAATTGTGCAATATCACAATTGAATTACTCAAGGGATTATAATTACAAAGCAACTCAGTTACGTTGCAACGAAGTTGCTACTAATATTGCAAATTTTCTATTGTTAGCTTCGCATATTTCCTTCATATATTCATACACTATATTTCAATATTTCATAGTAGCGTCCACGTCACTCCTATGATGCAAGTTTGGAGTAGCAAGAGTTGACAGCTACCATGGCTTCAACTACCTTTTATCAAAAAAGAGAATTCGTTGCTTTTTTAAAAAAAAAACTCACTCGCAGGAAGATGAAAGTTGTTTTAATCAAATAGCAATTTTGATTCGCTGTCAATACGTTTTTTTTTTACGCTTACTAGATAATTACTGAAGCAACTGGAGTATAAGAGGCTAGGTAGATCACTTTTTCAAAAGACTACATGACACTCTCTGTTTTCCCTGCTGCGCGTGGCCGCGCATTGTTAGGCCACTGATTTGTCGGTTCTCCCATAAATCCTGCTTTTCTCTCGCCGTTTTATCGCGCGAACGGACGAGTTGCTGTTGATAACGTTATAAATTAACAGTCTGATCAGATTGCAGCAACTGATGATACACGATACTCTTAATATCCCAGCAAATGCACAACACCTTTTTAACACGAATATTGGGTTTCGGTGTCGATATTTATGGTTGGTCGGATTTAATCCACGATTTCCTCTGCTTATAGTCGGAAT